AGCTGAAGAAACGCATGGAGAAGGTATTCGAGGGACACTGGGGTTGCATCATCGGCTCGGGTTTCGCGTGGTAAGTCCTCCTGTTGCAATTTTGGGTGCCTATTGGGGATCATTTAGTCCGCTGTAGATGAATATTGTGTGTCAGGTTCTGTGATCTCCGGCTCATTGAATGCTGTGTATCGGGAAGAGAGAGAGAGAAAGATGAATAGGCTTCATTTTGAAGTTGAACACAAAAATGTTCGCCAAAAGAGTGCACAAGTGCGAAATGTCTTAGACGACGCAAGCTCCTTATCACCAGCTCCTCAACTAAAAGACTCATTCAACAAGATCCCCATTTGACATGAATTTACTTATGGGAGTGAGGTTAGATAAGACTTGAAGAGAGCCTGATTGGTTGACGGACGGGAAGGAAGCTTTCTGGCATTCTATTGGCTGCTGTAGCAAGTTTGCCCTTGACATATTGACCGAAATTCTGAAATATGGTTTTGATTTGAGGAAATAATTACGTGAGGAGTAATTTAAATTGCCACACAGCATAATCCACAAATTTTTCATTCACAAGGGGATGCTGGCTTCCGAGCGAGCTTCCTTGCGAACACTATAAAAAACTAAACGAGTATTCATATTGCAAGCCTACTTACTTCGAAATGAAAACAGAGTTCAGAGGTTCGGTTGAAATGAGGTAGCACATCCCCGTCATGTTGGGTTACCAGTTTGCATGCTATCACGTCTGTCGCTAAGCAAGCTGTTGGTCATCTGTGGTAAGTGGCAATGCCATTGCTGCACCTGTCAACGTTTCCTGACCATCAGCCTCACTGTTCTTCGTCTTCCTTCTTTCAGCTTTGTGAGCCACGTGGAGCATCACTACCTCAACATCCGTGCGGGAACCAAGGAAATCGTGCTGTACAGATCCGCCTGAAACCTCTTCCCCTTACCCACGCTCACATAATGTGCGTATTGTGCTGCCTATAAATGGCCTTTGTGGTAAATACAGGATTATAAACTCTGACAATGGGTTTATGAATATTTCTGCGATGCGTACGTCGGTGGTTTTCAAATGCGTCACCGCAGAGCGATTAGTGTTGGTGCAGAGTAGAGTAGAGGGTGACTGGGCCTTGAGCGCTGAGCATTGTTGGGGTCCTTGCTTGCAGGCGGGCGTGTGTGTTGATGATATTAAAGTATCGAACGGTAGTGTCTGAGTCAGTGTGGTTAAAGCCTTGTAGTGTCGATTGCGGCG